TGTGTGTGTGTGTGTGTGTATTTGCATGTGCATGTACGTGAGCATGGGTGAACGTGTGTGGGATGGATAAGTTTAGGCCAGTGTCTACATGCATACTTACTTATGTGCGTGCATGTATCTGCGCATGATTACTTGTGTGTGTGTGTGTGTGTCATTTGGATAGCCACCCACATGAATATGCAGATCAGTTTTAGAGAGCGTATGTGCTCAGCATTAAAGCCCACTCTCCACTGCTGACCCAATTTCACACTGCAGTGTGTGTGTGTGTGTGTGTGTATGCTTGCTTATCAATGCTTGGAAAATCGTGTGGTTGAAGCAGAGGCTTGTGTGTGTGTGTGTGTGCGTGTGTGTGTGTGTGTTTATAGTATTTATGAGGCAAAAAACACATGCGATAAGTCTCATTCAACACACATACATTCACAGTTGGCTACAAATAACACACTCACATTAATACATGCTGACCAAAGCACATGCCTCTACACCACATTGTCGCTCAATCTCTTATTTCTCACACGCACTGGTTTACAAAGAGCAAGCACATTCCTCACTTTGATCCATGTCCACATCCAAGTGAAAAGATTATTAGACTAGTTTTACATTTTAGGACATTTGTTTTTTTCACCATGCGTGTGTGATGAATATGAAGCCACAGCCCACAGCAGGTCATCTTAGTGTAATTTATGGAATCTGGAATATAAAGCCTGAGACTAACTCCTTGCTTTGTGGCTTCTACATGCTTCACCTGTGCATGCTATGTATGATAAGCTGGCAAATCTGGCTCGATTCATTGAAATTTTGACAATTTGAGAAAAAACTATTGTTCTCTTACCAAGACTTACACGAGAAGATAGACAACAATGGTCTTTATCCACTTTGATAAGTTTTAAACCATGATACACAAAATCCTCATTCACTAACATCTTAAATCCTTCAAAATAGATGACTTGCGATTTTTAATTCAAGGGTAAAATATGGAACAACCATAGCATAAAAATGAAGCACTTTGCTTGGCGACGAGAGCTATTTTCAGACATGAACTCTGGAGGATGTCCACACATCAGGGCCTGGACTTTCTCAGAGGTTTATCTGTCCCGATGAACATCGCAGGAGATTCTCCGGTAACACTCAACATCACATAACGTATAAATTCCACTACTATGTGTTTTTTTTA